TGACTATGAGGATGATGCAACATTCATATGGAAAGGAGGAATGCAAACATACAAAAGTACTTTGGGGCTCATGAAGAGAATTGATCTGTCAAGCAATAAATTAACAGGGGAGATACCAAGTGAAATCACTCATCTTGTTGGGTTGGTTTCTTTAAACCTATCAAGAAACCAATTAACAGGTCAAATAACTCCAAAGATCGGAAACTTGCAGTTATTGGATTCTCTTGATTTGTCAAGAAACCATATAGACGGAAGAATTCCAACAAGCCTTGCTCGGATAGATCGTCTTGGTGTCTTGGACTTGTCATATAACAACTTGTCTGGCAAAGTTCCAGTCGGGACTCAGCTCCAAGGCTTTGATCCCTCTGTTTATGTTGGGAATCTTCAACTTTGTGGGCCTCCACTTAAAAAGATGTGTGTTGATGAAGTGGAAAGAGGTCCAAGTGAGCAAACTGACTTCATCAACCAAGAGGACAAGGATGGGCTAATAACACTAGGATTCTACATTAGTATGGGGCTTGGATTTGCTGCTGGATTTTGGGGAGTTTGCGGCACCTTGATATTTTCAAGGTCATGGAGGTACACATACTTGAAGTTCTTGAATGGTTTAAATGATTGGCTTTTTGTGAGGATAGCTTTGTTGAAGCGGCAATTGAAGGATGCTTAATTACTAAAGATTAACGGTAAGTAATCTCTCTTTCTCTCTCTCATTGTTTATTATTATTTTATTGACTTAATCAACATGCATGATTAATTTGGTTTTTCTAATTTGTTATATTCATGCTGCAAGTCTGTGCTGGATGCTGACGAGCTCCCCTTATGCTTCCTGTTGTCGTTTTTCCTTTCCAACTGCCTTTGGTTTCTTTCTATTTTATCCTCCTATTGTCTTTCTTTCGTTGAATGAAAGTACTTTGACCCCCAAAAAAAAAACATGTTTTTGTTTTTTTTTGTTTTTTTTGTTGTTGCATTTAATCTTCAGTCAAATGGCTCTGTAATGGTAGTCGTATTATAGTAGCAGGAAATGGGTTTTTATAGCCGGAGAGCATGAGAAATGCATGCCAACAATTAATAATAAAATCCACATATTGTCCACACATATGATGAATTTTTTTATATTCTGGTTTTGGTTCAAACTCAAATCTCATCACATATTTTATGAGGGAGAATAAGGTGAAGAAAAAAAAAAGACAAGTTAGACCAAAAAGTTATTTATGTTTATGTTGAATCTATATAACTGAAATTATTAATTAAATAAAGATAATATAATAAATTCACACTTTTTCATATTAAATTTTTTTTAAATTAAATAAGATAATGGGTTCTATTTTTATATAACACAACTACCCATTATCTTTTTTTAATTCTATAATAAAACTAACGCTCACGTGTGTGCCAAGGGACTAGTAATAATAAGTTATCAATGTTATCCTCTCATTGGTTTTTTTAAAATAATTAAAATAAAATCCATCATACAGGTAATTATATTCAAGGGTTAACGACATTTTAACCTAAGGTTTGGGGTTATTCACATTCCTATCATCCTTCCTTTTACATACTATCAAATTTCCTACATTCTTTTCATCTTTCATTTCACATACCGACATGTGGATGTCACAAATGCTATTCGAAAATACTAGGGGCTAAGTAGTACTTTAATTGAACTAACCAATATATTTAAAGAATAGACTAAAAATTAATAAAATATTAAGAGAGCTATGATTTATGGAGACGGTAAAACTATAATCCAACTCTATTTTTTTATTTAAAAAAACTATAAATTGTGGATTAAATTTTATGGGTGGGCTATGTTTAGCCCTCAACTACTAGAGATAGCCTAAAGACTCGTTTGGGAGTGCTTCTTCTCGAAGCGCTTATGCCAATAGTGCTTATGCCTGTAGTGCTTATGACATAAGCGCTTCTACAAAGAAGTAGTTTGTTGTTTGGATGTCACATTTAAAAATGCTTTTACACTATATAAAAGTGTTTTTGATATTTTGTTGAGTGTTTGGCTGACACAATAAAAGTACTTTAAAAAAATGTAAAGAATCTCAAAATATTATAATAAATATAGGAAATTTAAAAAAAGAGAAAAAAGAAAAAGAAATAGAAAGAAAGAGTATTTTGGCATTTACAAAAATTAAATATGGATATTTTCGGCATTTTAAAAGTTTCATTAAAGGGAGCAAGTGCTTCCCTTGTTTTTGTCCTGCAGCGCTTTTAAGAA